GGTGGTTTTGTTTGGAGAGCTTCCTGGAGTTCTTACTAGATTTAAAAATTAAGTAGATGGAAAGATATGAATAAAGGTGGTCTTCAACAGTCACCGTCGACAACATGCATTTGGGATGACAGAAAAATTCTGAAAGCTTGCCTTCTCCCGGCATAACTTATTTCGTGCTGCTTGTACCAAGAACTGGCTGGGTGGTTGCCTCCTCCTTCTTGATCACAGCGGGCTTGATAGGACCGTTCGTGCCGTACCACATGCCACGAGTCCACAGCTTCCAATATACGAATGGGAAGAGGCGTTCCTTAAGAATCCAAAAAAATCTCATCTGCAGGTCGCCGTCTGTCCCGACGTACTTCAAGGGAATCTGCCTAAAAGGCGGAAGGAGGGGCCAATGGCAACAGGCAATCCGCGTGATGATGAGCCCAAACGATCCAGGAGCTTGCCAATCTAAAGAGAATAAAGCTTACCAGTCTCTCGCGAGAAAGTTTCCATGAGTCGGCCTCCATAGCCGAACTCTGCAAGCATGGTGTGCCCACGGCTGTTCAAGAGAATACAAATGAGATCAGAAAGAAAGCAATACCGAAATCAAGCGATGAACGGAACACAACAAACCTTATAATCAACGGACAGCTGTCATAGCCAGTGTAGAAACCATCGAGCTTCTTCCCTTCAATCTCCCTTCGAAGGTTGTGGACAAGGACAGGAGCTTGGCTGGTGATGGCAGCAGCTGTCTTCGAATTTGGAGTATTGGTACAGTCTCCAAGTGCAAATACATTGGAGAACTTGGTGCTCTGCATGGTGTGCTTGTCAACGTCGACAAAACCCTTTGCATCAGAAAGGGGGATCCTTGCAGAAAGGCGGGCGCGTACATGTGCGGGGCTACATGCAACATGTCAAAGGGTTGTTCAACCTTTTCTTTGGTGTCAACGTTTTCGAACGTTGCCACTTTGTTCTCTGGGTCAATCTTGACAAGCTGCTGCTTGAATTTGGCCTCAACACCACGGTCTTCTCGGATCTTGTTGAGTTTGTCCGAGTAGTACTTGACACCGAACATGGTTCCACCAGGGGTCCAATAGGTGATGTTGGCCTGATCCCGTTTGCCCTGAGAACGTAGAGTGTCTTCCAACAACCACATGATTTTCTGCGGGGCACCTGCACACTTCAGAACAGTTGGACTGAAAGTAAAGAGATAGTTCGCCTTTTGCTTGTCGCCAAAGGCGCCTGAGCCACTGACTCTTTGGAAGGTCTTGAAAGTCTTGTCCGCCCAGTTGTAATCATAGATTGAAACCACACCAGAGTCTTTGCCTTCAAGACCCTCCTGAAGACCGGGAACCTGGTCAAATTTGGTCTCGATTCCTGCTGCCACAACAAGATAGTCATACTCGATTTTCTTTCCGTCGGCTGTGGTGATCTTATTCTCAGTGGGTTGGAATGATTCAACTTTGTTCTGGACCCAGTTGGTACCCTTGGGAAGAATATCTTTCATGGGTTTTGCACTCTCTGAGACATTCTTGACGCCGCCTCCACAGAGGGTCCAAAGTGGCTGGTAGTAGTGGACATCTTTTGGCTCAATGAGAGTTACGTTCTTCATACCTTCATTTCGAAGCATTGCCGCAACGCCAATTCCTCCGGTGCCGCCTCCAACAATGACAATGCGATCAGGATGCTGCTTGGGACGCAAGAAAAGGTAACCACCCATCACAGTGGCTCCTGTTCCGGCCAGGATGGCATTTCGATTTTTCGAGACAAAGCGAAACATTGTCGGCTTTTTAAAAATAATAGTCTGGGAGCTTCTGCTTGGGGGGAGGGCAAAATTGTGAGCAAGAAGTCGATTGGCCTCGAACCGTAACGTAGCAACTGAAAACAGGCCTTGGAATTTGCATTTGCTGAAGAATATCCAAAATATTTCCCTACCACCTTTGCCAAGAACTGCTGTGTTGGGAAAGGACAGAGTTGCCGTGTGGTTAAGTAATAGTAGTTCATCCTCTTTCACATCTGATTTTGTGAACCGTACCGTAGCAATTGAATGGGTCTTATAGAAACTGAAAATAGGCCATATTTCATCCAACTTGCAATGGATCGCGTCAGGAGCTACTTATCACCCCGTGGACCATACATTCCATCCGTTCTTTCGAGCTCTGCTCAGCGTTTCTAAAGGATTGGATTCTCCTACACAGGGATCCTAGGCTTCATTGACATGCTGCCCCAAGCCAGCCATGCAGCCAGAGCTAGCTGACGTATTCTGATCTTGAGAGCCTTGCTTTGCATTACTAGTGCGGCGCGTTGGACATCACCCTACGGTGCAAAAGGAGCTGGTTTCCAAACTGATGAGGGAGGACCCGTATAGGTTACTGAGTGTTTATGGTACCGAACTATCCCTAACTCGAAGTTGCTACCGATGAATGCTCTGATGGTACTGTACCGTATCCAGCTCGGGGCAAAGAGAAGTGCAAAAAGTGAGCTACCCAATACGCGATGGGAATTATCATGTAGTGAGAATTCTCATTGGAGCTGTCCATTTGGGGAGATGTTCAAGCTGTAGGTATCATAGCTCGCTGCACGAAGCGTGGCTGCGCCTTCCTCGAGTACGGTAGCTTCGCATCGTCTCGATGGTCTCCAGCCAGAGATGAAATGATTCGATCCATCCTCGGAGGAGGAGCTCGAGCTGAGCAAAGCAAACATCTTTTGCATCTCATCTATTCATTTTACTTTTGGCTTTCTTTCTTTTTGCTTAGTCATTATCATAATAGTTAGGCTACAAAATCCACATTGTACTCTCCCTCAAATTCCATTTCATCTTCATCAAACCCAATGGTCGGGAACGTGCAGGCAAATTCGGAAACTTCTTTTCGCAGCTGCACCAGATCGGGATGAACGGAAGGTCCGACGGCACACAATTCTCGGAATCCCTTTAATTTCTTTCCCGCGTCACTTTCTTTGAGTTCCTTGGCAATGGCAACGGCCCGATCAAAGAATGCCGCGACCTTGGCAAAATCGTCTTCCTTCAATCCACGGGACGTCAGTGCCGGTGTCCCCATACGAATGCCACCGGGATTCAATGCCGATTTGTCACCGGGAATGGTGTTTTTGTTGGTGGCAATGCAGGCCAATTCCAGAACGCGTTCGACACGAGCCCCATCGACGTTGCGAGATGTCTTTAGATCGACTAGAACGAGATGGTTGTCGGTTCCACCACTGACCAACGTGTATCCGAGCTTGTTGAGTTCATCGGCAAAGCGAGAGCAATTTTTCAATACTTGCGTTTGATATTCGACAAAGGCGGGTGTTTTGGCCTGTTTGAGACACGTCGACAGCGCTCCAATAGTGTGATTGTGAGGACCACCTTGGAGTCCGGGGAAGACGGCAAAATTGATTTTTTCTTCCAAATTGTAGTAAATGGGATTTCCTTTCTTGTCGGTACCCTTTTGGCCCTTGCGATAAAAGATCATGGCACCACGAGGTCCGCGAAGACTCTTGTGTGTCGTAGTAGTGACCACATCGGAATCGGGAAAGCAGGAAGGAATAACTTGTGCCGAAACGAGACCGGAAATGTGTGCCATATCGGACATGACATAGGCACCGACATTGTCGGCAATTTTGCGGATGCGTTCGTAGTCAATCAAGCGCGCATATGCCGATGCACCCGCCACAATTAATTTGGGACGAAATAGTTCGGCACTGATTTCCATTTGATCGTAATCAATCTGTCCCGTGGTGGGATCCAATCGGTAGGGCATCGACTCAAAGTAGCGCGAGACGGCGGAAATTTTCTTGGTGGGTGTTTGGAATCCATGCGACAAATGGCCACCGTGGGGCAAATCCAACGACAAGATGCGATCGTGGGTTTCCAATAGAGCCGTATAGACCTGCCATCATTATAATCAATGGTCATGAGATTCAATAAAAATGGTGAGATCCATCCATTCAAAAAGTTGAGCCAATCTTTGCTTTGCTCTTACCTGAAAGTTGGCGGGTGATCCCGACAGCGACTGGACATTGACTCCCCATTCTTCTGGGTCCAGATCAAAGGCTTCCAGAGCCCTCTTTTGGCAGAGGAGTTCGACTTGGTCGATATTCTCATTGCCTCCGTAGTAACGCGCCCCGGGGTATCCTTCGGAATATTTGTTGGACAAGACGGATCCCAGTGCTTGCAAGACGGCCTTGCTGGTGAAATTTTCCGAGGCAATCAAGACCAAACTGTTTCGCTGTCGCGCCTTTTCTTGTTCAATCAACGTGCACAGCTCCGGGTCCACTTCTTGCAATGGCTTGTTCAAATCGGCACCCGCCGCAAAGCAACGACGAAGACCGGTACTTGTCGAACGGCGAGCGGGGGCAACGGCAGAGCGAAGAGCAAACATCATGGTAGCCTAGCTAGCAATGCAGTAAATAATTAATTGTGGGAAGGGACAGAACAATCGATTGCTTTTGTAGAGAACAACCTATCCAATGATATCCAAGAGGAATCCTTTTGGGTCCAAAAACCAAGCACGTTCTTCTTTCTCGTTTGATCCAATGCAAATAAATGATGATGTGTTGATGATGTCAGCGGAGGAAGATCTTCAGCTTTCTCTGAAACCGTGACTGAAGAAAGATCTTAAAATGGCGGGAATGCGTTAGACGGAACCTTACTGTAGCTGTTTGAAGTTTGAAAACCAGCGTGGTGCAGCTCACGGCGCACTTCAGAATTCAGTTTTGGCACCATCAAGGCAGATGATACCCCCCATGGTTTGTCTCGCAAACAACCAACAATAGCGGAACTCATCAGTAGCAACAGCAAGTTTTTAAAATAATCCAACATGGGTTTCTTTGCCAAGAAAAAGAAACAGAGCGATCCCGAAAACCCCGATTACGGTGCCACCTACAATCTCAGCGACGACGATGATCTTCCCGTCGCCACCATGGTGACCGATATGCCCCCGGCAACGGCCCCAATGCAGCAGCAGCCTTCCTTTCAGCAGCCTACACCTCCTCCTCCTCAACATGCCAAGCCAGTCAATCAGCAGCAGCAGGCACAGATTGCCACGATGTCTACAGTCTTTCTCACCAGAGCACCGACTCTCATGCAGCCATGTCCCTGTTGTCAAGCCCATGCCAGAACCAGAGTCGTCACATTTCCCAACTGGGTCACATGGTCGCTCTGTGCCATTATATTTCTCATTTGTTGGCCACTCTGTTGGCTGCCTGTCGTATTAACAAAGGTAAAAATTCAAACATCGAATCTAAATCTTCCAAGTCTGTTTTGATTGAGTTACATGTCATGGAGCTAATGCGCCTGCATCTGTCTCTTCTTGCTCCTGTTTTAACAGTGCAAACAAAGCGATCACTACTGTACCAGCTGCAACATGAAAGTGGGAACCATTGGCGCCTGCACGGATTGCTGTGTGCAAAATAGATGGTAGCTAGCGTAGCCACTACGGTAGCAGGAAGCACTACATGTATCAATTCACAAACAATCAACACGGCACAATTTCAGCTAGATCAGTCCGAACATGATGGGGACAGAAAAAGACTCGGTCGTTGACGCTATCATTAGTTGGTCCGTGTCAGGGGTTAAAAACGTATCTTCCTCCAGAAGTGTTCCTGGCCCCCGTTGTTTGATTCTACATGTAATCCTCTAACCACAAACAAACAACAGTTTGTACGAGTACAAGTAAACATTATTGTAGTGTTTGCTTACATCCTCACTGCACCATGACGGTCCATTCCTTGTTACATTAGGGAGCTGACTTAAACTAGCCCAGAAAAATGGGGTTGGTGTTGGCACTACATGTATGTACAGAAATCTCTTGAAACCGAAATGATCTAGAGCTAGGGCCCATTGACCAAGGTGTGCTTCTGCGGTCTGCCTTCTTTTTTCTGCTTTGGCTCCACCTGTTTGGAGTGATAGGAAGAGAGCTCAGATTGTCTTGGACCAAGTTTTCTTGGCTGCGCTCACTGCTTCTCATGGCCTTATCCTCGACCGGCACGAAGAACACATACATCTACATCGGCCATTGATTCCCGCCATGTCACCCAGAGAGGATGCTTCCGACTCATATTATCAGATTCGATTCCTTGACACAGTTAGTTCTCAAGCAGCGCTGCTGCATTTAACGGCAGGAGCTTGAAAGTTCCTCGCCAAGGCTTTTGAGGGAGATTCCTGGAAATCCATGGCAAATGGGTGCTAGCTAGTCTACTAGAGTATGGCAGCATGCAGGCTCTTCACAGAATTGTTGTTGCTTTGTTGTTGGTGCTACCTAGCTAGACTAGACTAGTTAGCTAGACATTCTGCGGTGAGACCAATGGATCACAAGCAAGCAGCTTGAGCCACAAGCCCAGTAGGCACAACCTTCAAAGCTCGTCCGTCATCTGAACCTTGGTGAAGACTGGTGAAGTGATCCACTGAGGATCATGCTCTTGAAGTGGTAAGGCTTCGCTGGAATATTGGTAAATGAATCCATCTCTGCGAACATTGGTTTGTGAAGAAGCACCGAGAGAAACAAAGAGCTGGCTGGGTATGGGGGTCGAAGGCTACTAGTAGCCAGGTTTTGACAGACAGAACAGTGAGAAGGCCGGCTAGCTAGCCATTATGAGGATCTGGCCACTAAGCTACCGTAGCAAGTAGCAACGGTGGCTGGTTGCAGCCACTATGGCAGCCATGTGAAGACAACTCGAGGGTGACATCTATCCGCAGTAGTCACACTAGCTAGAGTCTACTTGTACGGGGTTTACGAGGAGTGGCGACTACTAGCTACAGTAGCTAGTACTACGGTAGCCACTACAACGGTAGCTACTGATGAGCACGCCTGAGCGACTGAGGAGAGTTTCACTCCCGGGGCTTCAGGGGAAGTTGAATCGCGAGCGTGAATTAGCTTGGAAAGCCAAGTCTTTATCTGTGGCCATTGACCATGACTTCTAATTCTGTGGTCGACGCGGCGGAGTACAGCTATTAATTCCTTTCTTGGAAGATTGTGATTCTATGACTATCTCACTGTGTCTCACTGTCTCACTATCTCAGTCATGCTCCATAAGCCCAGTCTTTCTTCCAGTACCCAGTGCCTACAGGCTGTAGAGATGCGGAGTTTCTACTAGTAGTAAGAGCTCTAGTAAGCATAGTACGTACTAGCCAGTACTGTAAAATTCACGATTACTGCATCAAGGTCTTTCTTCTATTAGCTCTTTTATTGGTAATAAGGGCCTGATTAGAACATGGCCCTAACTTCAAATTAAATATAGGATTTAAAACGCTGGGAATCCAGAATTATGCATAGCTTGGATCGTGGACGGACACTTTTGAAGAATCAGTGGAGAACATATATATATATATGTCATAATTGCTGCTTCCGCCACACTGGGGGAGGCAGCAGTCCGCAGCGCTAGCAGTGGCCATTACCGGCATACCGGCATCACTGTGCAACACACCGTTACTGTAAGACTGATGAGTACGGAGCAAGTCAAAACAGCTGCGCTAGTTAGTACCGGTGGCCGGTGGTACTACTTTCGGGATACCGGTACCCCAGTATGCTGGCGGTGGCCACCAGAGCTCTCACCGGCAACAAGATGAGGCCGATCCTAGTCGTAAGCGAGACCGAGACCGAGACATGAGGATTTCGAGGATGCCACTCTTTATCAACCGTTGAATTTGATTCCAGTTAATCAAAAGTGACATGTGTCTCGGACTGCCGGCATGCATGCCCGAGATCTTGCCCAAATTTCGTGGCTCCAGTCATGCTTCCGAGATACCCACTATACGATCATCAGTACTCTGTCAATCGGTTGCTTTCGGAACATTTTTATACTTTATCCATGCCGAATAAATGATATATATCACATAAGCCCCGTCCGGCAGGCTGCATCTCAACGTCTCGTGTCTTGGTCTCGCTTACGACTAGGATCGGCCTGAATGCCCATCACCAAAACCGACCAGCGTAGCAGACGGTACCGAGGTTTTACTGCCCTAATCAAGAACCTCTAAACTGGCTGGGTGGCTCATTTGTTTGCGGCTATTTCGCCAGTTGGATGACGATTGCTGGCCATTGACTGACTGTTGTAGGAACACTGCTGTGCTGTTGCCTTTGACATTCCCAGTCTTGGGGCTTGTTGCCGGTCATAGAATCTCTTGTTCCCTTTTTGGGTCCTTTCATAAAGAAGGTTTTGTCATAATGACAATGATGGTCGAGTGTCGTCTCAAGAAGAGGGTGCGGTTTTCGGACCGAAGGCAGGTCGTCCTGTTAGAGGATAACACTAGTAGTAGTAGTAGTAATGGGGTATCCCCCAAGGTGGATCATCGCAAGGGTGCTCGGGAATGCGCTCATCGGTTGATCTCCAAGGGATACGGGCATTTGCTAAAGGGTAGCTTTGAAGGGGCGACGGATGACAATACTACGACTGATGTTACCCAAGAGAACCTCAATTCCTTTGTGGCGGGGATTCCGGATCGAGATAATGTTCGAGGGCTCGAAATCTACATGTCTCCACCTCACCGGGAGGAACGGGATATGGCGCATGAAGATGTCGTGGAAGCGGTCTTGTCGAAACAATCGCAGTTGGCTCGAAGGAGGGCACGACAAACGTCCTTTGACCCAAGCGACCAACTGCGAGCCGCTTCCCGAAAGTATTCGCGAACTTCGCGAGTGTTTGCTCGACGCATGGGGATTGCCGATGAGCTGGCGGTCCAAGAAGACGAAGCGCTGCCCCAACAACAGCAACAACCACAACCTCGCTGTCATTCACTTTCACAGCAACCACCGCAACGTCCACAGCTTCTGCAGCAGCAACAACAACCCCAAAAGCTGTCGAAAGAAGCCGGCCCGGAAATGACATCCTTATCCTCTCTGTTTCGTCGTGGGGATTCCGCCCACACCACGAACTCCAATGCCCGCATGGCACGGCGACAACCGTCCACAAGACAGTTGGATACCGGAATCCGCAGTATGGCGGCCAGCATGAATGCCAAAAAGGCCAGTCGTCAAGAATCCATTCGCCAACTCAACGTGAGCATTCGCAATCTGTCGTTTCAAGCCAGCAGTCACCAGTGCTTCCACCACCACGAACACAGCGACAGTAGCTTTTCCGAAATGGACGGCAGCGGCTTCGAGTCGGATGTTTCCATCATTCATCCCTCTTTGGCCGTGTCGCACAGGGACCGTGCCCTCAAGATTCCCGGACGACCCGCCATGACCAAGGTCTCCGATTGCGCCAATTTGATACAGAGTGCTTTGGATCTGGTCGATTGCAGCACGGAAATCATTGCCGAAGATGAACCGGATGGGTTGCTCCTCAAACAAGGGAGGGCTCGGTCCTGTGCTCTCTCGGCGTGATATAAATAATTTTAAAAGACAAACTCATGTACATAGAGATGTGAACGAACGATAATAATAATAAGATCCCATGAAACCTTTTAGCTACTATTTGATAACTACTATTTTGATAATCAGGCGCATCGCCATCGTCCATGTTCGCGTACCTCCAGAGGAAGTTTGGAAGCCCGACAACCCGGCAGACAGAACTGATCGAGGCTTGCGGCCTCACTCTAAGGGCAGAGCCAACAGTGCTTCAGGATGACGCTGACTCCAACAATGCAGTGAACAGAGAACCGGACGTATCATCAGTCATCAGACTCGTCCAGGGCATTCATCCGCGTGAGCTACCTTCCCTTCAATCTGCGCCCGCCACCACGGCTACGGCCGCTGCCTGAATCGGAAGTGCGGGAGCAATCTTTGGCTTGCCCTGCTGCACCTCCGCTGTCCCCAGCAGATGAAGCCAACGATCCACACTTGGCTTGCTGCGGTGGGACTTTTTGTTGCTTCGGTGATTGGCTGGGAGTTGTCGTGCTCTCCAGGGAGCTCGGTGGTGGACTCGAAGGAGCCGGGATGGATGGCGACTGGGAAGGATTCCAAGTGCAATTCGCGGTTTCGCAAAGATCTTGTGTTGCAAAATCTGCGCAAGGAAGCGGTGTTCCCACACACTCGTATGTTTCCACGAAAGCCGCGAAATCCTCCTCCTCCTCCTCCGTGTCGAAATAGCTGTGGAGACAGTCACATCCGGCATCCCCGCAACCGGAGAACTCCGTGCACTCTTCCCAGGCCATGCTGTTGCATGAGACCAACGGGCTGGGTATGGGACAGTCCCACAATGGAAAGTAGCTCCTACAGGACCTTGCCGTCCCAGTGCATTCGGTAGGAGCAAGCATGTCGTTGATCGTTGGTGCTATTGTGGGCGTTGGGACTGGCGGCGCTGCGATGGGAGTTGGATTGGGATCCGTCCAAGTACAATTCGCTTTCAGGCAAAGCTCTTGTGTTACAAAGTCTGAGCACCCAAACTGTGCACCGATACCCAAGCTCCCCGCACACTCAAAAGACTCCAGAAATGTCCCATTGGCCAAAACATCGTCAATGTAGTTGCGGCAAAAACAACCGGCTTCCACGCACCCAGATTCGGCGCAGTCGGTCATGAAAGGCGCACAAGACAGCAAGGAGGTTGTGGCGCAGCGTCGTAACGAAAAGTAGCTTCCGCAGGACCTTGGAAAAGTCCCGGAACACTCTGCATTTGTCGCTTCAAAGAACAGCAATATTAGGAAAAGCATCATGGTGCTCGATTGTTGTCCTGATTGTGGCTTTCCTCCACAACAATGCTCTGGTACTGGTACCAGTCGTGGCACGAACGTTGCCCCGACTCAAACGAAAGCCCAGCGGAAGAACTCGTTTGAGTTGCCAGAAGCCACTTGTTTGGTTGCAGATCATACCGTCTTGGCTGCATGGCTGGATGGTCCTTCGCTTCGATCATTCAGAGCAAGGAAGTGGCAGGATTTGCAGCGCCTGTCCACGAGCAAAGGCTCACACGTTTCCAAGCAGAAGCCACAAGTTTCCACGGTGCAACAAGGCCGAACACCGCCGCCACAAATACATGTACGGTACCACTTACCAACCCACCAACACAGCAAACCACCCTTGCCGTTTCACCAATCATGTGTGAGGCGGAATCTTTTGTGCAGGCTTCTCATGGTGAACAGATGACACTGTGTGCATTCTAGTGACTCCTACGATACCCATGGCTTCATTCTCATGAAATTGGAACAAGGGCTTCAGTCGCCGTTTACGCCCGAAGGCGGCGAACGACCCGAATGAGATCAAAATTGTCCTTCGAAGTGCCTAGCTAGAATGGATTCTTCCCGGCGTTGTTTCTGCGTGGCCTCTGAGTCTCTCCCGCAAGGACCATGGATAATCCAAACTGGCCATGAGGATCCTTTGTATTCAAACAATGCGAGCTTGGAAGGATGAACTTCTGTTTTTAAAACCAATTGAACCCAAAGAAAGGTTGCCAGATGGAAGTGTCCGCTGCCTCAGAGAGAGGTTTTTTCTCCCGATGACTGAACCTGTCGTACCTCGAGTGACCTAGCTAGCTAGTAGCATCTACGTGATATGGCAAAACGTACATGCGGTCTGATGCGAATCTTTTTTGTTGTGAAAAATGAATATGAATAGAGAGGTTTAGTATGCCAACAATGGCATATATTATACCTAAGGAAAAGCACATAATACATGGAATTTGCTCAACAGCACTGAATCTGGCTGCAGTTTGCTGTGATTGAGATGTTGAGGCTGCCAGAGCACAGCTCAATGGGGATACTGCCTGTTATGGAAGTCCTAGAGATACCTAAGTACATCAGGGAAGTCAATAACAGCAACTCACTTGGAAGGGTGCCACTGACAGCGGAATTCCCAGATAGGTTGAGCTCTGTCAACTGGGTCATCAAGCCCAGCTCTGAAGGTATTGTGCCTTCAAACAAATTGTCCCCTAGGCCCAAGTAGTTCAAGTTTGCTGCTCGACTTGCTTCCCACAATGGAATGGTTCCTCCAAATTGGTTCCCTGTGATATTGAGTTGCTCAACACTTCGAAATTCACCAATAAACCTTAAGTTGTTGGACTTCAGTTGATTAGAATCCACTTTCAAAAATCGGAGGAAACTGGTATCAAGATCTGCATCGACAAAGTACATGGCAAAATCAAAACTATTGTTTGACAACAAGACAGCTTCCATTTTGTTTGTGGATGGCACAAAGGGAACCCCCCCAGAGATGTGATTGTTTGAGCAATCCAAAACTTTCATGCTTTCTGGCAGTTGGGATTCCATTGGTAGAGTGCCAACAAGATTGTTTGATTGTAGATCTTGCATCACGAGATGCCCATCCTGATCACAGGGTGTTGGGCTTTGCGAGAACCACTCACACTCAGGGACTTCATAGGATAGCCAATTGTCATTTCGAAACCAATTGTCTCCTTCCATGGCATGGTAAACAACAGCCAAGGAAAACCTCTGGATCTTCTGCCACCTGGGATAGGAGTCAAGATATGGATCTTCCCACATCCAATTGTTTGCACTGGCTTGGGGCCCCGTTGGATCATCCAGGATTGCCTTGCGTGTGTTTTGATGTAATGTACTGTCAAATGGTGGGTACTGGTGGCTTCTGTTGGTCTCAGCAAGTTCAGAGAATGTACCAATGGCCACAACCTGATCTGATGAACCCAAGTCTTGGTTTGATAGTTGTGATATTGCCAACCAGAGTACCAATCCAACAATCACTGCGATTATCACAAAGAAACATCCATTTACAAGAGTGGAGGAGCATGATGACGACGATTCTTTTTCTTTGCTCCTCATGGGCATTACGTTCAATGCTTCTGGAAGTTGCACTTGAACTTGCCCTGTTTCTTGGTGTTGTGCTTCCTGATCTACCAAAGTGGCATCCAGAGGACTGGTGAAGTTGTTTTGGTTGTTGGGAAGAGCTGGATCAGGTTGGGGGCTCCTTGTTAGCTCACGACTGCTGGCTCCTCCTATTCCCGGGACCGAGAAGGCCCCTGGAAGGGAGAAACTTGTACGAGCAGGACGAATGAAAAGTGGTGGGGCTGGATGGTGGTCCATTTCAGTTCTGTGGGCCCTACTGGCAACATCGTCAGCATTAGCTTGGGCCCTATTGGCACCATGGTTAGCTTTTGCTTCTACTAAGGAGCCACCAGTGTTGGACTTCTTAACTCTCGATCCTAATTTCGCCATGGAGATTGGTGAGTTTATGAAAATACTACTTAGTTTTGGTTTCTCGCGCTCCTCTGCTTCAACCGCAGTTTTGGTCATGGACTTCAAGCTTTGAGCTCTGCGACTCAGCGACCGTCACTCGACGACTGTCACTCTCACTACTACATGTACTCTATGTACCCCTACACTGTGCTGGTAGTACCGGTACTAGACTAGCTAGTACAGTAGAAGTCTACAACTCAGTATATATCACTTCTACCTTGCTATTACGATAAGCGATTCTTAGCAGTACCGGCATCACAAATAATATCCTACTGAACTTATATCTTTGCTCAGGATTCATCACCAGGGTACTGTAGTATCTTATTAATACTCTGCTTAGGAAGGGAGTACTATGGAACATTTTTTAAAACTCTGCTTCTCACCTTACTCAACAAACCCTAAGGTGAAGAGAGGAAAGAGCAGTTTGTCAGCTGCCTCCGGCAGAAAATTTTTTCCATTAGATGCCTGTTTTATAAGGCATTTTGTTGTAGAATGTGTCATTGTATCATCTGTCAATCTGTTATCTGCCCAAGGGAGAGTACTCACTGAGTACATGTATCTTAGCTCTAGTGTGGTTTTGAGGGTCTCCAGGATCTTAGCATTCCAGCAAAACTCAATACTTGACATCTTGTCTCCAACTCTCTTAGTACCAAGGGAGGAGTGTATATTTTTTATTTTGACGTTACCGTTCGATTATTATTAAAATACTGTGCATGTAGTGACGGTCGGTGTACGACGCGGTTGCCGGTCACGTCAATTAAGCCTACCTCAACGAAAGACGCTCAAAAGGTTTACATGACCATCAATAAGTACATTGTCTATTAATAGAGGAGTCATTTTTCAACAATAAGTAAGTAAGTGTCTTTCTGTCATACTGTACTACTACATGTAGTACTTAGTACTAAGTACTACTTAGAGGCTTGCAAGGTGCGGAGCTGCTGACCCACTTTCATGTTTGACGTCTTTTTTTTTAAGCGTCAAAGCATGGTGGCAATACTGGTATAGTACGGTACCAGGTAAGTACTGGTAGTCCTTCACACTTCGCACCCCATCACACCGCACACGCACAGCACCATCTACCGGAGCCATCGAAGAATGGCGCTGAAAATCAGTAATGCATCCGGAACAGAGTCGGGGTCTTCCACTGTTGCATAACCATAGTCACTATCCTTGGAGGCAACAACTCCAAAGAGATTTCGGTTGTCGTATGCCTTGTTTCCGCCCCATGCCTCAGCGGAAAGGGCAAGCAAGAGGACTGCGATGAGCACGATGGCAAACTTGAAGGCAATGAAGTTGACGGAGGTAGTGGAAACCATATCTCGTTTCTTTCGCAAACTGGGTTGTTGAATTTCGTGTTTGTATCTTTATGAGAGCAGTTGGAGTACCAGAATTTGCGAGCAAAACCATGGCGCAAGCAAGGATGAACCCCCATGCCATTCCAGGGACACAGCACGCCGGATATCCTCTCGGTGTGTCTCAAATCTTGGTGGTGCGTCTCAACAGATCTTGGTGTGTCTCAAAAGTAAGTCCCTTTGAAAAGAAGGAAGCTTGGAGCACTGAGAAACACCGGTTTGAGCTTCCCCATCCCTACCCACGAGGACGCACCTGAGGATCGATGACTTGAAAGTAAGGGGTACATGTATTGAAGCTAAGGAAGCATCAGGTGGACCTGCTGGGAAAAGGACTGCGCTTGCAAGTTCGTGGTTTTGACGTCAGCGGGACAAGGCAGTTGGTAGCAAGGACGGGGATTCGTAAGTCAAGTCACAGAATCAGATTGACCAAGAGATGGTGCTGTAGAGCTGTAGGCAACCATCTCTTGAGGAATTTCAAAAATCCTTCGTCATTGGCATCGGACATCTGGTACTCGTAGCTCACGACTGCTGATAGATGTCAATTGCGAAGCAACCATTATTCGTCATTCCGCGAAAGAAGTGGGCAACTACTCTCGGTACCATTGTACAGAACAGTTGCAGCAGACCAATCTAATAAATCTAAAGCGTTTATAATGTGCCTTGGCCGTTGCGGCAAGATCCCAGCTTCCGGTCCGTTGCATATGAATCCATGCAATTTGGAAGTTCACTTTCCAGCAGCATTCCTCTCATCGTGCAACCATGGCCAAGACCTTACTCAGCGTTGTTTTCTTCGCACTCGTAGCTCCACTAGTGCTATCTGATGCGGCCGCGCTCAGGAGCAATGTAACCTACAACAGCAACACAACACGTCCCCGTGCCCTGCAAGAAGATTGCAGCGTCAACGCTGCTCTCCTCAACGACCTGATCAACCTTGCGTTGCCCACGATCAATGATGCAATCCAACAGTATGCGCCTGATCCCTTGGAGCTTAATTTAGCTGGCACCATCAATGCAGGTTTCTTAGATATTCTCGGTTGTAGCTTGTCAACCGACCTTACCTACAACTTTGGAGGTAAGTTTCGGGTTCTCTCGTGCTATGCCAACATGCCAACGTCCATTGACAAAATTGAGTCTATGTATTTTGATTTGCTTGCCTACTGATGTTAAAAGGCATTTCAGGGTTGTCGGGAATTTTTATTGAGACGCTTGAAGTCATACCTGGCACTGAAAGCATCTCGGCAGGTTGCAGTACAACTCTTTGGAGCGGCGCATTCAATGTTGTCATTGCATCGCTGTCCTCCTTATCGTTGAATGATCTAGGGGCAAACTGGATTGCTAATGCTTGCGGACTTGCAATCTCTCCTGGGGTGTAAGTGTTTCGTTGATTCGTGTGATTGTGATAGTTTTAAAGGGCAAGCGGACGATGCTAACGTTTCTTGGCAACGCGAATCGTTTCCAAGTACAGTGGAGGAAACATTGTTACAAACAATCCTTACATAGGAGGAACGATAGACCTTGCAGGGGAAGTTTGTGGAGCTGCACTGAACATTAACTTTGCTCAAGTCATTGACTCTCTGACAATTAGTTATTCTTCCGTGGAGGCATCTCTTGACAACATTCCTCCCTTTCTTGGGGACGTTGTCACAACTGCTACTCGGGAACTCAGCATCCTTCTTCAAAACGAGCTGATCAACCAGGTAGAACCAGCCATTCGACCCGTCATTGAAGAGCAGCTTGTAAGTGCCCAATTCTTTTCTCCAACGAGGGTGATTCCCATCCAAATGGGGTTTCTTCGGAACGGCATGATTCAAGGAATGCAAAGTCTTGTCAACGAAACTGCCAGTTTCCTGGGATTTGGAGGCTCTGATTGAATCAAAGAAATTGATGGCAAATCTTGAATACAATTACTGGTTGTCGATGACTTCAAAATGAGCATACCACGATAGCGGACGTCACTCAAACGCTGCAATGCAACTTTGGGAATGCATCCCCGCCATTCATCGTCAAAGTTCCAAAGCATAAGCGTTCACTCCAACCAATGTTACATGCAAGTCATCTTGTGCGCGTATTCTTTCTTCTGCCCTTGCTTCCACCCAAAGGAAAGAGCTGGTCGTACGGTAGTGGCTAGCATTCTGCTGGGAGCTGGGAGATAGCTTGCCCCGCCCCTGCCTTCCTTTCACGGCAGGAAATGGCACCATCTACCGGTACCTGGCTTTGCACCTGTAAAGCGCTTGGGCAGCCTGGCACGGCACCGGCACAGTGCAGGTCGAGGGCATTGGCTGAAGCTTCGGTGCCTTGTGTGAGAGGTGAGGAAGATTGGTTTTCAAAGATGGAAGAGGTGCAGTCACTTTTTACTGGACTTAACTACAGTATCGATTTTGTAGCATACCATAAGTAGATCACTCACAAAAAAAATTGTTGTGTTGTGATCTATTTAATACTAGTACTTACGTATGGCATATCGGTCTTTAATAAAAGCCTTAGAGAGTTCCGGTCCAATTTTCTATTTACAGTAACATAATTCGACCACGTCTCGAGTCTCGAGTGCGGGCCATTGGCCAAGCCTTCAAGCCTTCACAACTTCACAAACCACAAACCAGCGAAGAAACACATAACACACACAACACACGGGATCGGCATCAGCCAAATACCGGTAGCCCAAGGGATCCCCACAGCATCAAATACCACCTGAAGAACTACTACACACCAAGCACTTGGCTTATTATTAGTTGCCTACCGCACTGCATTAGCAATCGACCCATCGCCTCCCAGCTACAACTGGTACAACTTGCATGCCCTTTACGAAGGCCCAGCAGTGGGCACTGGTGATTGTTCCCAAGGTCACTGGTTTCATTTCGCTCGTGTTCAGTGGGTTGGTGATCTACACGGTCTGCAGCTGCAAGCAGAAACGTTCCAAGACGTACCATCGCCTTTTGCTGGGAATTTCCTGTGTCGATGTATCGAGTTCCTTTTGGTTGGGTCTCTCCACTTGGCCCATTCCCAAAGAAACGGGAATTCTGGGGGCGTCGGGGACGACTGCCTCCTGTACCCTGCAAGGTTTCTTCACGCAGTTTGGGGTGACATCGTCCTTCTACAATGCATCCCTGTCTGTCTTTTATCTCTTGGTCATTCGCTATGGATGGAAAGACGATCAAATCCGCAAGATCGAGCCCTTCTTGCATGCCTTCCCACTACTTTGGGGACTTTCCACTTCCATTGCGGGGTTACCCTTGACCATTTTCAACAGTGCCAATTTGTGGTGCTGGATTGCGCCTTACAAAGACCGAGGAGAAAATGCCGACTTGTTTCGCTGGATATTATTTTATGGACCTCTTTGGACCATGATTCTTTTGGTGACAATCAACGTGATGCTCATGTTTCACCATGTCCGCAAACTGGAGAGAGCAGCCGAACAACACACTTTTCGGAGACAGTCTCTTTCCTTTTCCACTACAGTCCAACCCAATGGATTTCAAGTCCAATTTCCGTTGGATGATGATTGTGCTAAGGACTCTGTAGTCGAGGAACAAGGGGAAAGCGAAAGAGAAACTGGGAACAACAATTATCAAGGGGAAACAGGGGAAGGGAAACAGGGAGACCTAGAAGCGGTGCCGGAAGCAGTCCAACCTGCAACAAGCCCGTTAAAATCTTGGGGCGGGGAAGCGAACATGACAAATTCTACGTTGGGGTCTTCCAGAATGGTCAATTCTACCGTGAGGTCATCTCGTAGAAAAAGTGGGTTGGCTTTGGCCGTGTCATTTCGCAACATAAACAACAGCGGCAATATGACTGAGAGTCGTGCAAACAAAAGGAGACGCAGCCGGGAGGTTGCGAATCAAAGCCTCCGATACGCTGGATCGTTCTATTTTACATGGATTGCACTGACGGTAGGTTTGGGCATGGACTATTAAAATAGTGGAAGTGGACAAGCCAATCGAGGGTTCTCACTTTGGTTGTCTTATCAATCGAATCAGCTTACAAGATTATTGCAAGCCATAAACGGGAACACATACTTTCCATTGCTCATCATTGCCGCGGCAACTACTCCCCTGCAAGGTAAAGCACTGTGATGCATGGTCGAAGTTTTACTTCAACAACATTCTTCAACTCACAATTGAAATCGCCCTTTTCCTTTCAGGTCTTCCCAACTTTCTGGTGTACCTCTATCCCCGCTACAAAAAGGCTAGGAAAGAAATGCCAAACGCAGGTGTCCTTGAGTGTTTCAAAAGCTCCATCGCGCCAGCTGCACAGGTGCGTACAGGGTTACCAGAGCGTGTGTTCTCCTTTTTACTTTCCTTGCCGCTCATAAGATGTTCTACGACTTCTTTTCAGAGTACTGAACGTGGCTCGAGAGATCCTGCTTGATTTGGGAGGTTTCTCAGCATAGTTAGCTGTACGAAAGGGTCGGCTAAACTTACACCCGCTACTAGGCAGCGCACCAATCCTATACCGGTAGCTGTCGTGGTCACTTCTCCAGCACGATCACAGCATATGAGAACGGTCCAAGAAAGGCGATTTTCCAGGTTTGTCTTAGGCAAAGAAAAGGCGAAATTCAGGTATACGTTGTCCAGCTTTTTCTTTCCGTACAGTACGTTGCTGGGTGCCCCGAGTTGCTCGGTCATGCTTGGCATTCGCCACCCAAACATTCCGGCGTTCGATCGGCGACGGCATTGGTCCCTTGAATCCGCATGAATCCGCCGAGGTTGATCTAGTACCCGTAGGGTACATCTAGCACCTTATATCTAGTAGTGTGCAAGGAGCTTGGGGGCCAAACTTGATAGAAAGCTAGCTAGAGCAATGGAGGTGCGCACCGGATCTACTGGTATCGGCACCGTATCGGTATGATAGATGAACCCTGCATTATGGTTTCCTCCCTGGGTTTGCCATGCTGTACCGTACGGTACTATCCACAGCTGAAGGGAAAATCAACAAAAAACTACGCAACCGAAGCGGCAACTTGTGAAAAGCCAACTTTTTAAATTAAACTATGGATTGATTAATACCAAGGACAGGATCTCCTTCCTCATTTTTTCTTTCTATATTTTCGTTTCTTGAACAGAGCACCTTCACGCTATCCCGAAATTCCATTCCGAGTAGCGCTTGCCCACCTTTTTTCTTTTTAAACTTCCATTCATCCATCCGCCGCATCTTACTTATCCGATGAGAGACGTCTTCTGCCCACCCATGGCAAAATTCATGGGAGATCCACCCATCATCATACCGTTGTTTCCCTCCTGATCTTCCAAAGGCATGTACTCTGCCAAGATTCCTCGGACTTGTTCCCTCATTTCCTCTCTGGTCTTTTTGTAGTGCCAGGCACCCAATCCTCCAAAGACGCAAATGACAAAGAGCATGGAAGTGAAGAATGTGTGGGTCGAGACGCCTCCCTTGCTCTCCTCTCCCTTGTGAGCGTGGCATCGTCCCTTCTTTTCAATGCACGAGACGGGATCGGCGCACTGGGAGCACATGGTGCAAATAGAGGGGACGGTTCCCTGGACGAATCCAGCGCAAATGGCGGTGAACACATTGGAAACGGTCAAGGAACCACGAATGGCAGCCGTGTTGACAAAAGCCGTGGGGACGACCACAACACCACGCTGTGCCTGTGATTCAATTTCAATATCCAAAAAGGCATTTCCAGAGTCCTTCTCCAAACCTCCACTGTCTTGCATGCAACGCTCAATCAAATCGCCGTCGACCTTGGCATGCTTGTAGGCATCCCGGACGCAGTCATCATTGGCAAAATAGTCGGCGGAAGAGCAGCGGTCCATGAATTCGCGAACATAGTCCCACCAGATGGATCCAACACCATCCTTGGCTCCGTAGTCTTTCCAGACACACAAACGACGCAAGGATTCTTTCACGACATCGGCTCCCGAAATTCCGTGGTCCAAGTCATTGTCAGGGTCAGTTGCGCAATAGCGCCCATTATTCGTGCAAAGGTTGTAGCAAAAGTTTTCTCCGTCGTTGCCTTGGCAGTGCGAGCGGACACCGTCGTAAATGTACATGTGGGGCGTAAAGTAGGCGCGTTCTCCCAAAGCTTCCGCCACGACCTTGAAGCTTTTCAAGAATTCGCGACTGACGGCATCAGTGGGAACGGTCCAGAGATCGTATTCGACGCGATCATCGGGACTGGGCAAGGACCATGCCATTTCAATTTGAACGGGCCGGTTTTGTGTGAGTTCGTTCTTGACTTTGTCGGCATCACGCTTGAACATGAGAAAGGAAGGGATGGAAATGTCGGCACCAGAACCATCATCAGCCATGATGGGTTCGGTGGTTTCGCAGGCGCCTTGATTTTCGGTGGTACATTCATTGTCGTTACAGAGGCAGGTATTGTCGGCAATGACGACACCAGCGGCTCCCGAGCGTTGGGCGTTGCGGACTTTTTGGACAAACGTACAGCCACCGCGGTCGACCATGAGAATGTAGGGAGACTGCCAGGGTTTCATTTTGCCGTCCTTCTCGGTATCGCGTTCCGGGTAGCCGCCACGAGTGTCCACGTTGGCGTCGCAGAGATCCGAGTTGGCGTAGTAGACATTTTGCGCGATGGATCCACCGTAGGGGGGGACTCCAAAGAGAGCTTCGCGGTGGTCGTAGCCTTGTTCTTTAAAGAGATTGTGTGGGATCTGTCCGTGTCAAGTCATGTCATTGTGGCAGCAGGACGGGAATCCAAAATAAATCCAAAATAAAAATGATCGTAAACAAAAATGCGGAAAAATCAACAACAGCAAGAGAAAAGGTCAGCCACAAAATAGAGCAATCCAATGACGCGCCAGACAAACAACAGCGCAAAAATCGAGACAAAGCCATCATCGTCACACACGTCAAACAACCCCTTGCTCCGCTGAATTCCGCTCGCCAGGTTATTCAGTCTTGTTCAAAATCTGAAATGGATTTGAATGATATCGCAGCTGTCGCTGCGTTTCCGCTCCTCTCCTTTCTCCATTCCACCTCACACGCAGCTCATGGCTCTTCTTGATCCTCTCCAAGAGAGAAGAGACTGGTTCGCGAAGGACTCCCGTGGTCCGCGGTACCAATCCTACGGCGTGTTCCGAGCGAAACCCCATCATTCGCGTCAACTCAACGCAACAACTAAACTTACATGGATCATTAATCTACTAGAGACATTATCAGGTGTCCCTGCCTGTGCGGCGGTTGCCACCAGAGAGGCAATCAATAGACGAAGCTTCATGGTGCTGTTGTGTCGATGATGAGGGATGATTATGATTTATTCTCTCTTGGGTCATGCAATGCAATCAGTCAGATGCCGGGTGCTTGTCTTGACAAAGAGAGTTGTGTGCTTGCCTGGTCAAATCAACTGAACAGAACTGCCAAGCTGTCCGCGTTTGGTTCGTGAGTTTTGGAAAGCAATGCTGTGTTCTTTGAAAGCACCGCCACTCGTGGATGTCACTGAGCCACGGGAGTTTTAAATCTAATGAATACCGCAAGACAAAAATAGTCATTGATGATGTCACAGCGACTTGGCGGAGGCGGGCAGCTGGCTCCCTCCAAATTCTTGGTCTAGGAATAACGGTTGTTCCGCGGCTTGTCGCATTGATGCCATTTAGTACCTCAAAGTTTAGATACCGGTACTCTAGTAGTACAGTATGACGATGCAGCTCGTTACAACATGGATTCGATTCATTCAAGATAGCAATGCGGAGGAGCCACAATACGAACGAAGGTAAATGTCAGGTTGAAGCTCAACGCTAATGACGTACTGGTAACGGTACCAGGTACTAATAGAATGAAAGCAAAAGCTTGATCGTACGAAAGGCAGTATTGTAATTAAAATTGTTGCAGCTAAAGGCACGCAAACCGATACCTGCCTTGTCCAATAGAGGCACTCGGGTACACGTACTATGTCCCAAGCAGACGAGCTCGAGGAGCGCGCAACTTGAGTTGACGAGGAATCTCAATCAAATTGAAGCCTTCTGGGAAGAGAGATCATTATTGCTCATCCAATTTGTATACATGTAGATTCGATTCGATTCATTGCAAACCAATTCCTGGGATAGGTCCACAGGTGATAAGGCGCCCGTCTTCGATGACGATCCCATGTACCGGTATGCATACACGTAAGGCCCTGGATAATGTATCAGTATATCTTAACGTTAAGGCTAACGTGTACTTGTTGACGAAACTGGGTGCCACAAGATAAGATACCAGTTTGTGGTCGTGACCGTGGATCTTTGTCCAGCAACTGTCTGTTTTGCTGGTTGGCCAAAAACCAAAAACTAAACACCAAACACCGGATCTCTGTGTGCCAGCCCCAAACCTTGCTCAAACAGATAATGCATACAATAATGTATCCCTTGTCATGAGATAATATCAATTAATTATCTTAGTGTTCCGCCAACCTTTGACCTTTGGAAAGCGATGAATGAAGAGTGCAAGATTTAGTTTGGAGCACCTCAACGGTCGGCATTTCCGCTGTGGGATAGAAACCGAGACCAAGATGCCGCCAACGGGATAGGAGGAAAACCTTGCTATGGAAAGGAAGCCGTGGTTTACCTGCTCAATGGAAGAGATGTGCTCCCCACCACTCGGAGGAGCCACAAAGTTGCAGAAGAAGAGAAAGAAGCATCGTGAAATTTTGTTCCCGGCCAAGTCATTTCGACCCTGAATACACCCCCGATAATGTGGTCATTGAGTATGCCCTGATGACAACAACGGAGCAAATCAAATGAATGAATGAGGGAGCAAGGAAATGGGAAAAGCGGAGCATTGCACGCTAATGGGCTGGATTGGATCTCATGGAATCACCCTCGATGGACTCGACTCACTCATTCAGATCATGAGCTTCAATTTTTGTTGGTGGAAACAACCGTTACATTTGGTTTTTTGTCCAAAATTCAAAACGTAACAATCAGCCACGGTTTGACCGCACTACGACAGCACTGCTAGTACCACGGAACAAAGCATTGTTCAATGCCGTACAACCCAGGAATTGGGTGGAGAATGGTTGGAAAATGCAACTAAAATGTGGCTTTCAAGAGTACGGGATCTTTTTGCTGTGAAGAATGTTTGTGCACAAATCTTTAACATGCAAAAAGCAAGGACCTTGTAGAATAATTCGATCTGGGAGTTGGCTTCATTCTATACTTAAGTTATACTTCCAAGTGATCCATCTGCCAATGACACCATCCTTTCAGGAAGCTCCGGGGGCTGATTTAGGAACGCAACAGCGTGCCTCAAGGAAGTCTGGTCTGGCACTGGCTGCCCAGACGCTGGCTTGTTGCTTCCAAGAGATCCTTCTGGCGACGACAACATTCGTTTGGGGAGCCTTGGGGGCCGATTCTTTATGCATAAGTGTGTTTTGTCTGGAACTGTCTTTTGGGAAGCAGCCTTTGTAATTCCGAGTGTTGGCAAAGGCGGCAGAACCACTCCTGGTCTCTCTCCCACAGTGATCGTTTCCTGAACTTCCGAGTCAAGGGATGTTTCGTCGTCGACACTAGACAGATGCAAGGGTCGACTCGGAGCGCTTGGAGGCACTAGAGAAGAGCGACGTCCACTCTGAAACCTTTCAGCACTTGCATCAAGCCCTTCCGCGGACTGATTCACTGAAGGCCCTTCAGAGTTCAGGCTCTTTTGGGGGCTTGAAAGTGCATCATTGTGGTGTTGTCTTGCAGCTTGCGCGGCAATAACGTGGTGCCTTGTTGCAGCAATTCCAGGGTGGCGGGGCGGACCCACAGACGATGACGCAAGTGAATCGGTTTCGGCTTTTCCGTAGTAACGTCGTGGTTGTGTTACTCCTGATATAGAGTCGATCCTGGCAAGGCAGGCGGAATCAAAGCTGCGACGACGCCGATATGGAGGATTTGACGAACCGGTGTGGGAAGATGGAGTGACGTTGGCTGTCGAGTCGCAACTACCAGCAGACCTTGTCGCTGAGTCGTTATCTCGTTGCTGTCGAGCAGTTTGCCATGCTGCAATGCCGGGATGGTGCCGTGGAGGAGATGCTCGAGAATCACATACGCTAAAGCTTGCCAAGGAGGCTGAATCGTGACTGTGACGACGCCGTACTCCTTCCCAAACGGCAAATAAGTGCTGTCTGCGATCACCAGGGAAAGAGGGAAGCGTCTCCTCGTCATCTTCGTCATCCCCTTCGGAGAAGTGTGGCATGTGAAAACCCACACCCCTGGAGAGCTTTTTCTCCGTTTGCGACGATCCCGCGGACAATGACGATATCATATTGTCTCGTTCTTCGGGTTGAAAGAGGAGTTCAGGAACCTCAGAGATCATTGTGAGTGACGACACAAGGTCTCGTCTCGCAGCAGGCACCAAAAGTGGTCTCTTTGATTTTCCAGCTCCAATTTCGTTCGTCGACAAACAGGCTGGGCATACATTTCCAACCTCGTTCTGGCTGGACTCCTCGTCCTCTGGTGGGCTCTGGATTTCAGGATCTGCATCTCCCCCTATCATTGGTTTGGGCGGATTCACAGGGCTCGGAGGGGTGTTGTTGCTAAATGACTTCCTTCGCATTCTTTCAGCATAGACTGTCACTGCCTTTGTCACTTCATCCTTGATCAAGGCAGTGCTACCGGTAGCTACCGGCGGAGCCGTGTACGTGCTGTATATTAGGTTCCCGAATATGCAAACCAACACGGCCAAGTCATTCTGTGTGGACAAACAAAGCCAGGAAACTTAGAAAAGGCTGGTTGTTGTTGGGTTTTTTCTTTTTCAAACTCGATCTTACCATCCATATAATGACACTGCGAACAAAGAAGGCAGTCTGTGGATCGTTTCCCACGATGATGAGGATTGGAACTACATGTGTACAAGAGAATGCGAGGAAATGATGGTTTAGCTGGATTCTTGGCTCTTGCAGCAGATGCCTTGTAGTTCGTTCGATTACCTCCTACAACAAAGATCTGGAGGGGGCAGAAGACGAGGTGCATCCGTTAGCTCATACGGACTCATACAATTAGTCAATAGCAGGCAACCGCTATAATGTTGCAAACACATAATATGCACTCACCTGGAGGTTGGATATCATGGCAATGGAAACAAACTTCCCCTCCTGGTACATGGTCGGGATATCTCTGGCCCGGTAGGACATATAGCAAGCTACACCAAGAAGGCTGAGATGCAAAGCACCCATAGCAGCGCCCCAGGCTTTCCATGAGTCGCCTTTTATCAATGGCCAGAGCAAGCCAAGTCGAGTCAAACAACAAGAAGGAATGAGGGGTGGGCATGTCTCGTGAACACTGCCATACCACCACAAGAGCATGCCTTACTGATACAATAGCCCAAGGATTCCATGGGCGCCCCAAACTGATCCGACCGTATGACCTCTCGATGCCAGACCAATGGATCTGTGATTGTCCAAGCAACCAAAATTGCTACATCTACCATGAGCACCATCCCAATGATTAAAAGCGTCTCTTGCCAAGTGACGGCAGAGTTCCTTCCGGTCGGGGAGGAAGATACAACCACATTCTCTTTCGAAAGCTGGAGAAAGGTAACATAGACTCGCCTAATCTTGGCGAACAGGGTACCAAATGTAACCGAGAACCCAACGGAGTACAGCCACTGGTAGAAGCAGTGGAGGAAAGAGCGATGAGCGGCACCTGTACTTGTTATGTGTACGACACACAGTAACCTTGACTTACCGGTATCCACATGCACTGCACCGTGTCGATGTCGTCGTTGTCGTCTGTTCTCGAAGCATCCACATCGTCCTCCCGGGCCATGGCCAAGATTGTAGATGAGCTAATCATGCATCCTAAGAGTACCAACATCAAGAAGCACGGCTGACTCGCGCGAACTTGAGCACTCTTTCGTTGCCAAACCAACCATGCCGCACAGATGGCAATGACCAGCAGGTTGAGGGCAACCATGACGTATGCGATGGCTTTGAGGGACCGAGGAATCAAGTTGACATCTTCTGGGACTTCAATCGAGCAATCATCGCCGGTCCAGCGGATAGACTTGCAAACGCAGTCTCCAAACGCATTGGCTTTTCCGTGCTGTCTATCACATGGCCTTTCACAGTGCTTGCCAGCCGTGCCCAAGGTACAAAGCGACCCCCACGGTGACAAGTACTGAAAGTACAGCTGATCCAGAGTGGCGTTCACAATCGCATGAAACACCCACTTTTTCAACAGAAATGAGACTACCGGTTCCAAGTCATATCTCATGGGCCAATGTAAATAGAGGAAATTGAATTGCTCGTTTGTCACTTCCAAGGTTGGATCATTGCTGGCATGATAGCGCAATAAGAGTTCGTCATCCACAAACAGGGAACATTCTCGTTTTTTCAGCCTGGCTATACAATCGTTGTAAAAGTCCGGATATCCACCGCATTCCAAATAGTTGAGGTTTGGGAACTTTTGCCGAGCCACGTCCATGTTGTAGGCTCCACTCAAGAGGCATACAGGTGCACGCAATTGGTCGGCTTGAGCTATAGTGTTGATTTCTACAGCACCAGGTTCTGCTTCTTTGAGTTTCATGGCAGAGATGGAAGAACGGGCCCAAGGTGCCGTAAAATCCACTTGAGCGTGACGCTCCGGATTGCCGTAGTAGTCTGCTACGAGGAGGTCCTTTTTGTCTTTGCATACGGTAGTGTTCTTCTCGCATTCGGTTGTGTCTACCAGTTTGAGAGCGTCGAAGTACGTCGCCTTGACGAGCGATTGCTGGAAGGTCAGGATGACACTGTCTTCCTTGGCAAACTGCTGGAGGCTTCCCATCAAGTCAATCATGAGACCATGGATATTGCCTCTCTCGTCTAGCATGGCAAAGGGAGCCGAGATTAGAATTCCTGTTTCCAGCGTGATCTCTTCAGGGTATTGTTCGGGCAAGAACTTGACTGCCTCCACCATCCACGCACTCGACCAAAGAAAGAAGAAGAGGAGGACTCTCGCTCGAGCCATGGTGCTTTACATAAACAAGACACACTCTTGTCTCTCTGATCGAGGATATAGTTCACAGACAGCGGTACAATCGGGAGCGTGTTGTAACGTTTGTAAGAGAGAGATCTCGTGAAGATTTGAGTTCTTCACTATGGGCATCATCGCGGGAAGTTCCCACCAGGATTTCGGTACACAACCAAACTCCTTTCGTTGAAGCTGAGTTTCGATTCACACAGGTCAATTCTTAAATTCCCACCCCCTGGTTCGTTCCACACTCTCCCTTAATTAATTGCCTCTTGCCCTTTTACAGTATGAGTCAACAGGTTCCTGTTAACATGTTGCAAGTTGTAAGTTGTAAGTGTTGGCTACGACAGGGGGTAGAGAGCACTACATACAGCCTGTGCATATGAACAGGATTTTTAGAGAGCCGCAAATTTTGGCCTGGCAGGCGACGCGATTCCTGTGCAAATGAACAGGCGACGCGATTCCTGTGCAATTGAACAGGCGACGCGATTCCTGTGCAATTGAACAGGCGACTGTGCAATTGCACAGGCAATCCGACGTGCTTCCTGTGCAAATTTGCACAGGAAATCTGACGTGCATGCTGGTTGGAGTCTTCTTCATTTTCAGCAAGAACAACAGCAACAGCAACAGCAACAGCAACAGCAGCAAGGAAGGACACGCATAAGCATAAGAACAAGAACAACTGATCCTTCCACTACTGCTATCACTGCTTCTACCACTATCATGTCTGTCTCTTGCAGTCATTTGTGGCTTGTGGCTTTTGGGTTTGTCACTGAGAGATTTGGACTTCATTTCTCCTGATTTCTTTTTCATTATCTGAGAAGAGGAAAACACAGGAAGTTGCAACCATTTATTCTTTCACTTGAGCATCTAAGGCAGCCACTTCTACAGTCTGAAACAGAATACCTCCATCTGGTCAAGAGAGGAGATTTACTCTCATTTCCTGTACTACTGAACAGGCACCCGTCGCCTGTGCAAACGAACAGGCACCCGTCGCCTGTGCAAACGAACAGGAAGTTTCCTGTGCAAACGAACAGGCAACCGTCGCCTGTGCAAAGAAACAGGATTTTTGCCGAGCTTTCATTCAACAATGACTACACCGAGTCAATTTAATGTGGAGTATCTCCCAACAAAGCAGGATATTCATTCAGACTACGAGAATTTGAATGGAAGCAGTAGACTCTTGCCAGAAATTCTGGCCACTGCTGTATTCGATGGAAACCGCGAGATTCTTGGCGAGCCTACAAGTTATGAAGATTCAGAGAACAAAACCAGCTTGAAAAATAATATCAACACTGCTTGCAAACCCGAATGGAAGCGTCTTGAAGATGAAATGTTCTGTGTGTGCAGAGGGTTGGGGATGAATCCTATCCACTGCAAGAGCCACAGACCAGTGTCAGAACTGAAGAAATCTTTGGATGCTACCAATCCTCTGCATTCTGGTTGACGAAGTTCCGGTCAATCTTGTGCCAGGCACAAAGTCGATGTCTTGCATTTGGCATTATATGACCCATCCCAGTTACCGACTCGACAGCTTTGCATAGCTGCCCATCTTCGTCTGTAACAATCATCCGAATTTTTGGAAAAATTCTAGTTGGATGTAAAGCGGGAATTGCTGTGCCCAAAATCCAGGAGAACTGCCAGAATGATTGACTACAGAGCCACTCCCAAGTATGAGCAAAGACGTTATTGTTGGAATCTTTGCCAGCCAGAATGAAACACGGGCGCTCCTCAGAATTCAGGCCTTCAACCACATCTGCTGTAGTGACTTCCGGAAACATGCTAAAGCGAATAGATGATTTGTCGTCCGTCCAAAGCACCGCTAATAGAATGTAACCTGTCCCGGTGATAGTAAGACTATCTCGAATCTTTCTGCTGTGATTTATCGCACCATCACCAGTGTCATCACATAAAGCATCTGCATCCATTTCGGAGATGGCATGGGCTGTGGGGGTTTTTCTTGTTTGCTTGATGGTTATCAGGTTGGAGTTGACCTCACCAAAAAGTGAGATGTAAGATTTTGTCGGGTCATTGTCAAGTGCAAGAAACATTCTGTCTGCTGGTGTTCGGATCTGTTCCTGGTCAATTGAGCAGCCACTTTTAGTTTCCAAGGATGTAATCATTGCAGACTGAGCTAGTGCTTTTTGTTGCTTTCTGAGATACTTCATTTGATCATGGCTGACTGTAATTCCAGTTCTCTTCCGAATGATATTCTGTGTGATAGCACATGTAGCATGCTGCTCCATGACATTCTGCCCAATTTGTCGCTCAATTTCTGGAAGGTTTTTGGTCAACGTAGAGATAATTTCTGGTGAACGATGCATGTGACCACTGTGTTGAGAATTTCCTGATTGTTGACGGGGCAGGAACCATCGTTTATTGCTTTCACTCCAATTGCAATACATGGCTCTTAGCCTTATTCGCGACTCGATCCTAGATAGGGTTTGAGTTCGACTCATGACTGAGTCTCTCGTGAATAGTCATTTGAGACAGGGTTATCAATGACCGCTCTAGTCATACTAGGTTGATGATGAAACATCGCGCTAGATATTTAGCCAGCGTGGAGTACTTCCACGCTACTAGATCCATGCTAGACAAATCTTCCACGCGTTCCGTTTTAGGATCGTGGAGATACGTAGGATTACTGCCGCAACCTACTCTATCACACTTTATAGTCTCCCGCGGGAGACCAGATCTACGATCCCTTGATGATGATCTCTCCACGTTGATAGTTTTCATAGCCTTTCTAATCCTCTCATAACTTTCATTTCTCTCAAACTCAAAACATCGAAAGATCTTTACTAGCTTTTAGCGTAGTGCTTTTTGTTAACAACACAAATAGCTTTCAGCTACCCTCAACCTTTCCTTCACCATGAGATGCTCAAGAAAGCATGCGTTTCGCAACATTCGAGAACATGCGTCAAACCCATTCTTCTCTCGTCGACAATGGAAGACACGAGATCGACGATACTTGTGCACACTGCAAACTTCGCAACCATTTGCCAAGCGCAAATCAGAAGGACTGATACGAAGGCATCACTCTATCGTTTCAATCCTTGGATGGGAGACTCTCTTCTGAGGATTAGGCCAGGATGATGATCAACGGAACAATGTTCGATTTCTTTCAGTGATGAGATATCTCCTACTATTAAACAGAATTGTTTTGCAACCTGAACTCTACGGCAAATTAGATGATTGCTTAGAAGCTGCTCAACTAGACTCTGATGATCTATTTAGCATCGTTTAACCTGTCCGTGGCCAACCACTCGTAAATGTTCGCAGACAAGAGATAAAACAATTCGTCTTGTTAGATTACAGCCGGAGAAAAGGGAAAAACCGTTATCCTCTGTTGTTATTTATACCGGGATTCCGGAATACTTGATTGCTCAAACCATTGCTAAGAATTCGCATAAGTATTTGGGGGCGTCCAACACTTGGTGGATACCCTCGGAGATTAAACATCGCACGAAGTGACAAGGTAGCATTCTGATTCCCTGATTCCACGATGATAGAATTATCGATGGGTTTACAGTCCACAAGTTGGGGGCGTTTGATTGATATAGGTCGAGAATCTCATCTGACTTGAGGTATTAAGTTCCCGATTTCCTTCATGTCCGTTGGTGGGCGGTATCTTTCTATGAAGTAGCACCCGCATAGAGAAAATTTTCATTCTTTGATCTTCTGCGTTGATACCAGTTGCTGAACTCAAGTTTTCTGGGAATACATTGGACGACAGTGACTTGCGGATTTTGCCAGTCCCGTTTTGACAAGAGAGCAGGAGCTTAACATCTTCGAATTCCTGATGACAAGCTTTGCCTTTTGATGGACTTTGGAAAGTGTGGCAGATGGCGTCTACGATTAGATCTTCCTGAGTCCTATCATGTAGGTCTTATCCTTTCCACGGTTATACCACACTTTTACTGGAGGTTGAACGTTTCTGTGAGTGCAGGAGTCTAAGAGGTGCCTTTCCGATGGGCCGGCACCACACTTTTTTGATCCGGGATGGCACCTGCCCATGGGCTATATTGCAATTAGTTAGAGCTAGCTAGAAATATCTTGAATGGAGTGCGCAATTGCGATCTAGAATTAATTTGCTGTTGCCACTGAGCAATGACGTCCAGTGTTCTTGAGCAAACAAGTGAGCAGACGCGCTACAGGGTCAGCAGCAAGAACCGACGGACGTCTCGATCCAGTTTGGCACTGCCAAACGTGTCATCCGCAGTGGTTGCAAAGAACCATGGAGCACACATCCCTGACGAAGGCTTGCAGGGGTGGTGCTGCCGTACTCAATCCCGTTGGTTGTGCGGTTACCAGGCACCAAACCAATGTTGTGGAGCCAGGTGTGCCTGACTTTTGGTTCAGGCGCAAGTCTTCACCGCATTTGAGTTGTGCCTCACTGACGGTGACGGGCATATCTTGGCCCGTTGTCGACGAACAACTCGGGTGTGCGGATCGTTGTGTGCAGGTAGCGCCGTCGCTCACGTCATGGGGGCCGCTGGATGCCGTCGTTGGTCTTCAGATCAGGCCAATGAGCCACACCAGAAGGGGCCTTGACAATCAATGTCCCTGGTTTGATACCACTCCTACCTCTAGCGGAGACAGGTCCCTCAAACTTTGTGGCTGACCAATCTTGCACGAATGGTGTTGGTGTGGTTGAATGGGAATAGGTCCCCACCGGGTGATCTTGAGGATCGATTGCGATTGCAACCGACCGTATGGAATGTTGGCCATTTGATCTAACGGTATGGTTAGATATTGTCCGAATTGCAAGCAAAAGAACAACGACGGAAAGTTTACTCTGTTGGGCAAAGCACTGATGGGAGGATGTACGCCAATCCATTTTGGTGTAGGTTGGAGGAGAAGTATGCCGAGCCAGGAGCAGGGATTTTTTCTTGTGTAGCGGTTGTAGAACATAAGCGCCTAGAATATGCTTGGGTCAGCCACGATGGATTCGACGGGCTGAATGCTACACAAGTGCACAAACTCGTGGGGAAGCAAACATCTTCGATGAAGGCTCTTGGAGTAACACCTTCAGGATCACGGATGCCGGCTGAGATAGCCTCCCGCCATGCAAAGTAGGCAGCATCACATCCTGGTTTGGTTTGGAGGTGGTTTGGAGGCATCCTGGGCTGGGATTTCCGAATGAGGGAGCAAAGGAGTGGATTGAGGCACAAGATGATTCGTTGAGGCACATTGCACGAAACGTGGACCTGTTTCCATGCCGCAACTTGATTCATTACATCCTGGCTTGTAGCTAGCTGCGCCATGCCGGCATAGTAGCTCAATGGTCGGCTATTTGTCCCCCCCTATAGTGTGAGAGTGCGATGGGAAGATAGTGGCGATCGAAGAGGAAAAAGTGATCAACTCCGAACGGTTGGATGGAGCAGGCTAGCTCGGATTCGCATTAGATTTGGTCGTTCGGAAGGCTCCCACACACAATTCTCTTAGAAGGCGAGCCTGAAATTCTCGGAAACCCATGCAAAATACTTAAGATTGAGATATCGTCCCTATATCTTTGGGTCTGATTGGCATTTTCTTGATTCTGGCGAAGGGCAAAACGGATCATTTTAGGTTCCGAGTCATTTTCCTAGCGGGATTACTAACACAATTCAAGGGCCAATTGGATTCCGCGAACTCTCCCGGGAATGACGTGTTTCTTAAGTAAAAAAATTGAGTATTGTGCGATTTGGCTGGCTGGCTACTTCAACGTCAGTTGAAAAAGGAAAGAATTCGCATTTTGAATGAAACTGCATCAATTCGATTGGATTGCATTGAATTGCATTGAATTAGATTGGATTGGATTGAATTGGATTGCCAATAGTACTGTTTTTTCTATAGTAAAATGTATTTCAATTCAATCCAATCCAATTCAATCCAATCCAATCTAATTCAATCCAATCCAATGCAAATCCAAACAAAACAGTTTGAAAAAAAGGCTCACTTCTTAGTCGGAGGCACACTTTTTTCGAAGGCGCACTTCCTCTCCACAAAAGCTCAACAGCGAACAACTAATCAATCACATGACCGTGACGGCCTGTTTTTGCGACGGGTTGCCGTTCCGCCGGTGCATCAAAACCCGAGAGAGGACGATGGCGATGGTCAAGAAGCGTCTGTGCCACAACAATTTCCATCATGCCACAACAAAGAGCTCGACGAGGTCCAAAGTGGACACAGTCTCATACTGACACTGGGATTGTCCTCAAGTGGGTTGCTGGTCAGTTTGCTGCTGGTAGACGCAATTGCACTCACACCGAGTTTAAGGCCACCCCTCAAGGCCAAGTCCTGTGCGAGAAGTGGACATCAGCCAAGGTTGACCACAATTTCAAGCAGACCAAGAAGCAATACGAGATTGATATTCATCCTTCCACTCGCGGCCAAGGTGGATTCACCCCTGAAGTCCGCGCCATTGCTGGCCTAGCCATCCCTGAAAACGCTGCTGCTGAGGCTCCTCCCTTGGTTCCTGGAGACGACGGCGAAGATCTTGGTGCTGAAGACGACATTCTGGGTGGCACGCTAGACGAAGACGAGTTTTTGGAAGAAGAAGAAGTTGCCGACACCACTGCTCCACCAACACCAACGCCGCCGCCGCCGCCGCCGCCGCCGCCGCCGCCGCCGCCGACACCACAATCTGGCAACAACATGAGCTTCTACACGCGTCATTATGTCAATGACAGCATGGTGGATAACAACCGCGGAGTTGTGTCCACATTGTATGTTGCTCGCTTTGATCCACCCTCTGGTGTCACCACCGTGGAAGCAACCTTGCGGGAGGATATGAAGACCATCGAGTTCAGATTTATGGAGCCAAATGGGGCTCACAATGGAGATGTTGTTGGACAGCAGTTGGATCAACCACTCCGCAACACCATCAATAGGGCAGAAGAAGATGAAATTCGAGATGGTGACTATGAGGAAATCAATGGCACCATTTGGGCCAAAGCATCTGTTGCGCTACCCGAAGCAGTTGAACCTTACCTTGTTAGTCCTCGCATTGTTGACTTTGGCAGCTTGCAGAACCCAGTCTGCTACACGACAATTCCCAGGACTACGAGGTTGATGACTATTGTTGGTGCTTGGTCCAAGCGCAACAAGCCCATCAAGGCTAGAGATGCATTCGTTCCCGTCTCGGTCGAAGAGGCCCAGAGGACGGCAACTCTCTTTGGTTTGGCAACTCCGCCTCCTCCTCCCAACACTCGTGTGCCTGCTCCAGCTCCAGACCCAATGTTGGCGCAGTTGCTTCATCGGCTCAATCAACAGGAAGCTCAGGTCAATCAGATGAGGCGACAGCATGAACAAGAGTTGGCGACGCAGAGGCAGCAGTTCAACACCACTACACAACAACTCGATGAGCAATACAAGAGAGCTGCCAACGCACGAGATGAGCATGTTCAGGCGAATTCGCCAGCTGCGTACCAGTATTTTAGAGAAAACTTCAACACCATGAGCGAAGAAGATTTCCGCAATTTGATGCAGCGAATGTCCATGGCTGCAGCCCCCGCGGCAGCTCCAGCCCCAGCTCCAGCCCCAGCTGGCACCGAAACCAGGCCTTCCCATGTTTTCACAGTTTCGGATGAGTCCACTGCCGGTGGCAGCAGCATGTCCGAGGAAGAACAGTTCAAGACGCCCAGGAATGATTGAGAGAAGAAAATGAAGAAGAAGATTGAAGAAGTGAGAAGAAAAAAGTGTGGCCATGGCACCAGTGTTGGCCTTGGTGTGCCATGTATGTCTATGTAGAAATCTAATTCAAACTAGCTATATCAGTTGCTATCCACTGCAAAACAGCCCTATAGCAAGATTTGCTCATCCCCCAAAAAGGATGGATCTGTACGATTCATCTCTGATTTCCGGGAACTAAACAAAAGGATTAAGCGGAAGCCTTATCCTATCCCAAAAATACAGGACATGCTCTTGAACTTAGACGGATTCAAGTACGCCACTAGTCTAGACCTGAACATGGGATACTATCACATCGAGCTGTCACCTCACTCGAAACAACTCTGTACTATCGTACTCCTGTGGGGAAAGTATGAATGCCAGAGATTGCCAATGAGCCTATGTAATAGTCCCGACATCTTCCAAGAGAAGATGGGAACACTAATGCACGACCTAGAATACGTCCGTGCATACATTGATGATCTACTCATCCTAACCAACGGCGATCTGGCGGATCACGTTGAAAAGTTGGATGAAGTTCTCCGAAGGCTTCGAGAAGCCGGACTTAAGATCAATGCTACCAAGTCCTTCTTCGCAAGAGGAGAACTGGAATACTTAGGTTACTGGATTACTCGAGAAGGGATCCAACCTATAACCAAGAAAATAGATGCGATCCAGAATATCGCTCCCCCTACTAACAGAAAAGAACTCCGTAGATTCATTGGACTAGTGAACTACTATCGAGACATGTGGATTAGACGATCACATGTACTGGCTCCACTCGCTTCGTTGACTTCCAAAACAACGAAGTGGAAATGGGAAGACGAACACACCAAGGCCTTTAGCCAGATGAAGAAGATCATCAGCAAAGAAACCTTGCTCGCTTACCCTGACTTCAACGATACATTCGTTATCCACACGGATGCGAGTGATACTCAACTAGGTGCAGTAATCTCCCAGAAGGGAAAACCTATTGCAATACACGGCTCTTAGCCTTATTTGCGACTCGATCCTAGATAGGGTTTGAGTTCGACTCATGACTGAGTCTCTCGTGAATAGTCATTGAGACAGGGTTCTCAATGACCGCTCTAGTCAT